GATGCCTATGCGGATGAGTCGCTCATGCCTTATGAGCCGCTTGTCATCGAGGAGACCCGGCATGATTGGGAACCATCCTGGCCAACTCAGGCACTTGGGGAGTGGCAGAGCAGTGACGAGTCTGAGGATGGTTTCTGGGACCCTCGACCGGATTGGTTTGAACGTGCTGAGCGGAGGTTGGCCGCGCAAAGGCTGAGCTACGCAGGGGGGAGGCTTCCACAGGAAGTGGTGGACAAGCTGCCAGGTTTCTTCTTCTCCTTCGAATATCTTCGGACACTAGCGTGTGTCTCGCCGGCAATGTGCCGATCAGTTCGAGATCGTGAGAACTGGAGAAACAGTCGTATCTTCCTGTCCACCGACGAGTTCGAAAACGCACAGACTCTGCGCAGGATGGTCTACTTTTACAGTGCGGCTCGCTTATGCCTCGTCAATGTCCGACAACTGGCAATGTTTCATATCTTTCCTGAGCGTATGCTACTCGACTGGACGGCATCTGTGGCTCGTCCAGGGCTTCTAAGACAGGGTGTGTCTGGTTTCATTTCGGACCGACCTCTCATGGGATGCGCTACCTTTGACCTCGTGCTTCCAGATCATGCTGTGGGGCTTTACATGGGTGTGCAAGAATGGCGAGGCACGAAGCGATCTTATTGCCGGATCGACAATCTGTTCAGAAGAGATTGCACAGTCTCGTTTGCCTTAGATGACATGCCTCCTCAACCTCATGGTGGACGTAATCGCTGCCCGCTCCTTCCCGACCGATCTTATCGTTTCAGTCTTCGCTGGGATCAGAGAATGCTTGAGTTGTCAGTTGATGGCAGAGGCGTTTCTGTCGCTCGTCTGCGTGACGGTGCTGCCGACGCCGTGTCTCCGCTGGCCCGTGTTTTCACATGGATCCATGTGAGACCGCGCCCATTCACACAGATGGCAAGCTTCCGCCCAGTGCCCTCTTATGTGCGGCTGGATCCCACTATCAGATGCACTTTATGCCAGAGGGAGCACACAGGTCTCCGGATACCACGATGGGCTGTGTGCCCGCTGTGTGACTCCTGGATTTGCGCGAGTCATTGTGGTCAGACACCTTGGCGCCGATGTCCGTGTTGTCCGAACCAACTCATGGACTACATCGGTGGAAGCCAGGTGCAGCCTTATGCCGACGCGACTAACTTCTTCCAGACCATTTCGACCCTCGAAAATCATTCTACGCGCTCAAGCGAGTTCTGGCAAGACAAGTCGGGAGGATCTTGCGAAGATGTGGAGGGTGGAGCGTTGTCACAGTCATCATTCAGTGCCAGAGTTCTGCAGGAGAGTCAAGACGGGCCCTTTGAGGAGCGTGGAGATCCGGCCGATCAACATGCAGATCCCGATCAGCATGCACATCCCGAAAACAGCGATGGTGCTCTTCAAGTCAACTACGAAGAAGCAAGAAGAGTTCCTCCGGAGTCAACTTTTGCCCGTGTTAAGCCTTTCTTGCTGCAGCTCGAAGGCATCTTCCGCTTGTTGAGCGCACGGGTGGAAAGAAGCGATGAGAAGTTGTTGTCTGCCATCGATGACCAATGCCAGGAGTATAACACTGAGCAGGAGTTCCTCACCGTGTGTTTAGATCAAGCTGTGCCACATTTTCTTCGCCGGCAAGGGGGCCGCCGCGACGATGAAGCTGAAGGTCCCGCTGGAGGTTGGCCCATTCTGACTGCAGACATGATATCACGCATTGCAGTGCCGTTGCAGCGGGATTTGCTGGACGAAAGACGGCTTCTTCAATTCGTTGCCGAGTGGTGCAACACTCCGTCGCAAAGGCAAGCTGGATGTGCATATGCAGATTGCTCGGTGAAGTACGATGTTGGTCCACGCACACCTCTTCAGTTCGTGAAACCTGCTCCGGAGAACAATATCTACGTTCGAATCCCTCGCTGTTTGGGAGATCCCGTCTTGCAGAATGCAGAGCAGAGATTTCAGAAGTTTGTCAGGCAGACAGCAGACGACCTGGCTGGACGTAAGCCGTACGGGTACATCACCCGTATTCTCCGGGCTACCGGGTGGAAGCATATTGAAACCAACCGCCTCATGACCTTCAAAAACATAGAAGAGGGCAATTTCAATTCGATCATGCGGCGAAGCTTGGTCTGGAGACCAAAGCCTCTTTTCGTGGATCCCACTGTCAGATGCGCTTTATGCCAGAGGGAGCACACAGGTCTCCGGATACCACGATGGGCTGTCTGCCCGCTGTGTAACTCCTGGATTTGCGCGAGTCATTGTGGTCAGACACCTTGGCGCCGATGTCCGTGTTGTCCAAACCAACTCATGGACTACATCGGTGGAAGCCAGGTGCAGCCTTATGCCGACGCGACTAACTTCTTCCAGACCATTTCGACCCTCGAAGAAGAAGTCGATAAGTTTTCATGCGTTGTTCGCAAGACTATTCGGCAACATGCCGAGTTTTTGCAGCAAAACCCCTTAGCTGTGAAGCTGTTGCCAGACCCGGCCGCAAAAAACAGGATGTCGAAGCGCCTTTGGGAGAAGGTCATGTATCGGGGCCGAGCGATAATTGATTTTCTGGACCAGAAACAAGATTTATTGCTCTTCAGATTCCTTCATGCTCTCTCGGAGGACCTTTCTTCATCTGATCGCAAGCGTCTATTGGCCGACCTTCCTCACCCGGAGGACATGCGAGATGGCACGCCCTGGCGTCAGCTGGCTTTAGAGTATTCTCTAGAGCTTCAGCTCCAGTTGGCGCAAGAGCAACGGCGGCGGTCAGAAGCCCAGGCAGCGAAAGAACAGCTACTTCGAATTCAATCTCTGCAAACTCATTCTTCGCGCTCAAGTGAATTCTGGCAAGACAAGTCGGGAGGATCTTGGGAAGATGTGGAGGGTGGAGCGTTGTCACAGTCATCATTCAGTGCCAGAGTTCTGCAGGAGAGTCAAAACGGGCCCTTTGAGGAGCGTGGAGATCCGGCCGATCAACGTGCAGATCCCGATCAACATGCACATCCCGAAAACAGCGATGGTGCTCTTCAGGTCAACTACGAAGAAGCACTTGGTGTGCGTGCGCAGCAAGAGTTAGAGGCTCTGCTAGATAAAGAGGACCAGCTGGCAGACCGGTTGCAAGTTGCCAAGAAGAGAAGACTAATGCCCGGTGCAGCCGATTCGTTTGCTGCCTTCGAGAAGATGTTCGATGCCCAAAAAGAAGCCTGCGAGTCATCCTTTGGCGAAAAACCTGATTCTGCAGAAAGCTCAGGCTGTAGCACGGTTCTGCAGCGAACGTCGAGAATTCTCCACTTCGTGCGAGAGCGCTTTCCTGACTGGTCTGAGCAGCTTGTTAGATTGGGCGCAGCAGCTATCACCGTTTATCGCACCAGGTATTCAGACATGTTCGTCCGTGACTTCGTTGCTCTGGTGTGGGTGATGGAGGGCGAGCGGTTCCTGCGAGCTCACGGAGGTGTGTGTTACATGTACCACGAACATGGTGCTTTCCAAGCATTTGCAGGCGTTCCTCCGGAGTCAACTTTTGCCCGTGTTAAGCCTTTCTTGCTGCAGCTCGAAGGCATATTCCGCTTGTTGGGCGCACGGGTGGAAAGAAGCGATGAGAAGTTGTTGTCTGCCATCGATGACCAATGCCAGGAGTATAACACTGAGCAGGAGTTCCTCACCGTGTGTTTAGATCAAGCTGTGACACATTTTCATCGCCGGCAAGGGGGCCGCCGCGACGATGAAGCTGAAGGTCCCGCTGGAGGTTGGCCCGTTCTGACTGCAGACATGATATCACGCATTGCAGCGCCGTTGCAGCGGGATTTGCTGGACGAAAGACGGCTTCTTCAATTCGTTGCCGAGTGGTGCAACACTCCGTCGCAAAGGCAAGCTGGATGTGCATATGCAGATTGCTCGGTGAAGTACGATGTTGATCCACGCACACCTCTTCAGTTCGTGAAACCTTCTCCGGAGAACAATATCTACGTTCGAATCCCTCACTGTTTGGGAGATCCCGTCTTGCAGAATGCAGAGCAGAGATTTCAGAAGTTTGTCAGGCAGACATTTTGGTGCAACGAGCACTTCTATGTGTGTTGCCTCGCCGCCATTGCTCTGGCCAAACGTGGTGAGAATGTAGATAGATGCTTCATTGGAGAATCTTCCGGAGGCACAGGACAATCGTTGTACAGCAACCACTTGGCGGCAGTGTATGGGCATAACCACTCGTTCATAGACCCGAACTTGTGGCACAACGAAGACGAGCTGCGCAAGCAGCTTGAAACTTTTGCCCACTGCTTCATAGTCACCGCGCAAGAGACCCCAGAGACGCACCGATCTTTCAAGGAGGACCTGTACAAGAAAATGGTTTCTGCAGACGACCTGGCTGGACGTAAGCCGTACGGGTACATCACCCGTATGCTCCGGGTTACCGGTTGGAAGCGTATTGAAACCAACCGCCTCATGACCTTCAAGAACATAGAAGAGGGCAATTTCAATTCGATCATGCGGCGAAGCTTGGTCTGGAGACCAAAGCCTCTTTTCGTGGATGATGAATGGCTTCAAGCACATTATCCTGACTCTCATCTCGACGGGATTTTTGCCAAGGATATCGGTCTGCGTGAGTTTCTCGAGTCAGGACCAGCGATTGCAGTTTCATTGCGACGCCAGCATGGTTTCGAGGCCACGCACAATCGAGACAAATGCAGAGCTTTGATCGAAGAGTATGCTGTAGCGGGCCTCACGGAAAAGAAGATGCGCGAGGCATGTGGCCTTCGCCCGCGCGAGGTGCCAGCTGTTAGTGATTCATGTGTATAGTCTTCCGCGTACGGTTTGCGTTGAAGATCGTAGCATTTCGTTTTAAGATCTTCTGTCGTCATTGTGATTGATTGAACTATTCATCCGACGTAGACATGTGAAGCTTTGGCTTTGAGGAGACCACCGACCAACCTACCAATGCTGTTCTGGCTTTGGTGGAGCAAGCTGGCGAGGCAGAAAACCAACAACGGGAAGACGAGCCACTTCGTAAGATAATCAAAACCATGGTGCGCGTGGGCTTGGGCACCAAGGCATCTCCGGCGCTGATCCCTAGGTTCACAAAGTTGTGGTGGGATCGCAACGCCTCGAAGTTATCTGCACAGAAAGACGCTTTCAACGACTTGTGTTCGAACGAGCTCTTGATCACGACAGTGGCCTGGGGCAAGAAGGAGTTGTACATACCGAAGGTCTTTTGCCAGAAGACGTTCAGAGAAGTCTGTAGCTGGGCGCAGCCTAGCAAGCCTACGGTGCTGTGCGAAGTGTTTGATGCCAGTGAGCTTTGGAAGGCGGTCGACTCCTATCCGTCTCGAGGACACAATGCCGAGATCTTGCAGCAGTTCTACAAGAAGCTCCTCTCCCGCATCAGCAAGAAACGTGGCCGGATGAGCGCAACGCAAGCCGAGTCTCTCTCCCACTGGCAACATACATCCGACAAGCTCAGGAAGCAAGAAGATGCTGCTAGATCTCTGTTGGACTTCTTTGAGACAGAAACAGCGCCGGCAGCAGCCCAAGCAGCAGAAGCAGGACGTCAGCAGCATAGCGGGGTCCTGTCGGCGCAGAGATTGTGGGAGCAGGGTCCACATGCAGAGCACGTGTCGGCCGCTGGTGAGTCACCCGTCGAACCGCTTCCTATGAATCCGTTCGAGGGTAAGGCCTGGGTCACTATGCAGACCAGCTACAAGTACAACCAACCAATGTTGCGCACGCGTCGGTATGCAGAGGGCTTATCCGCGCAGAAGCTGTCTAGAGCATGGCAGATGGTTAGTCTTTCGCACACAGTTGACCTGGACATCGAGAATTGCTGCTTTGTGTTAATGTTGCAAATTTTGGACCGTATGAATCCGGAGCACGCAGAATGGCCGTCCGTGAGAGAGACACTCAGCGCCTGTGCCGAGGACCGAGAGAAAGTGATTCAAGAGCAACTGTGTGTATGCCGTAGTCTGGGTAAGAGCATCCTTCTCAAGGTGTTCAACGGAGGACAGCCCCCGTGTGAGCTGTCACACAACCCGTTCGTAAAGCGCCTGCAACAAGCATCGCTGTTTTGCAGGTGGCTAGCAGCGTCGTCACTTCCAGAGCTTCACCGACATTTTGTAGATGAAGCCAGGGACAATCCTGAGGCGTCGACCTTGTTTTATATGTGGACAGTTGCCGAGGATGCGGTTTTGGATGCGTGGCTGGAGCACCTGCAGGCGTTCCATCCTTCGCACCTGTCGCTTCACTTCGATGGCATACGCGTCAGCTCAAATGATGTTGGAGAGGCAGTTCAAGATTTCTGTGCAGCCTGCAGTCGCCATATCGAAGCCAAGGCAGGTTTCAAGGTCCACATTCGCCCAAAGACTCACGGTTGCTTTCTGAAGCTGGTTGCTCAAAAGGCCTCCTCATCTCCTTTGCACTGTGCTGAACAACTTCTAGAGCCTGGCAACTGTATCTTACGTGGTCTGTTCCATTTGGGTTTTACAGATGATGCCATCCGCATTCACGATGACTCAACGTCAGAGTACGGTTTGTATTACAGGCGTAGAGGGCACCGAACATATTTGCATGTGGAGTCTGCATCTGGAAGAGAATTTCATCCTCGACTGGATCTCAGGCAGATGAAAGCCAAGGATCAATTCCTGTTGCACTGTTACGTGCGGGGACAGCCTCACTGCGTCGCGGTCATGGTTTCTGACGACACCGAGGTTAAGGTTGTAGACGGGTCTTCTTGCTGGACTTTGAGAACCGAAGACTTTCAGGACGCATGGCACGATGCGGCTGATAACAAGTACTTAGTGATATTTGACGTCTTGGAACAAGGCCGCGTAGCCAATGAGCAGGCAGATTCAACGGGTCCTTTGCCTTCCGAGTTAGAGGAAGCAGACGACGAAGGCGATGGGGCCGATGAGGCGACCACCAAAGTCGGCGATCACATCTTGGCATTGATGGAAAAGGAAGTTGATGACTTGCTCTCCAAGAAAAAGGTTCACAGGAACCCAGACAATCGGCTGGTGTGTCCGCTATGTCCTTTCCGAGCTTTCGACAAAAATAACAAGGGTAGAGTTTTGCATCACATTCAGAAGTACCATTGTGCGTCGAAACAGTACTGCCCTAGCGGCACAAAGCAAATGAAGCTTGTGATTGCCCTGCACGACGGTGACCGCCTCTTGAAAAGAGCAGAGAAATGCGACCTGCTGTCCCGATCTGCATCCATCATGCGACAAACCATCGTACCGCCTCTCCCCGGTGCCATCAACTGTATTGACCGCTTCATCCGCTTGGTTATGACAGAATCGGGGCCAGAGTTCTGGAATGTCTCCACTGTGCAAGGCGAAGCATTTGTTCGGCGAGTTCGAAACCTGTACTACACCAAGGGTTTCGGGCAGTTGATTTTCCAGCAGACGTTGCTTTGCAATGCCAAGGTGCAGGGAAAGGTAAACATTGTTCTCGCAAAACGGCTAGAGTGGCTAATGTCGATTAGAATTGCAACTAGAATTGTCAACTGCGCTTGAGAGAACAATACTTGTCTGTAAGTGGGTCTTGTGCTTCTGCCTTGTGGTAGGTGCACGGCGTGATCGCAGCTCTACATTCTATGATGGAGCACGAGTCCACCTGTTTGCTCCCGTCGCACGCCAAGGATTGGCTGCCGCTGATGGAGGACATTCTCACTTCTCCGGCCGCTGCGGCAATGGAACGAGAACTCATCCATGAGCTCGTACAGCACAACGAGTACCAGACGCTGAGCATCGATGCCACGCTTAGGTGCTGTCTTCCCATCCTAGGACAGCCACGCCCACGTTCTATGGATGCGACTCAAGCGGCCTTCGACGAAGCCAGCATGCTGCGAAGGGTGTCGTGGCGGATATAGATTTGGTCTGAGTATAGATGCAGCAGTGTAGCTTCAAGACCAGCAGACAAGCAAAACCCTCTCGGAACAGCCCATGTGATTCTAATTCGTTTCAGCATATGTACCCTAGTACTGTAGTCTCGTCAAGGTGTTCACCGTACGCGGGCGAACAAATGCCGTGGTCGGCATGTTCGCAGTGGCCAGTGATGATGCATGTGGAGCAGCACAAGCTCTGGTAGAAAGCATTACAGCTGAAGGACTCGCTCAGGTCGAATTCGTCACCGTGGACAATCCGAGCCGGCACTACTTGCTTAGCTTGAAAAACATTTGCCCGAACCTGCAGGTTATGGCTTTGGACCCGGTGCATCTGGCCATGACATGTGAGTA